GATCACACACCTTTGTGTGCTCCGGTGCCAGGGCATGAACTAAAAATGTACCCGTAATGAAGCTCTCAGTTTGATACATCAGAAAAGCAAAGGCAAATTTGCATACCCCTAAAAGAACATTTTAGATACTTACATCAGATAAAACCCCGAAAGGCACAAAAACAGACAGCACTGGCTTTCCTTTTGTCTGTTACTTCTGCAATCAGTTGAAATAGCTACATGCTTTTCACCTGATTAAAACCGAAGAAGAAAACAGATTTGTCAGAACTGCTTTAAAGTATTTTGTAAGGAAAGAAGGAAGGTTTTAATGAGAAACCCAGATTTTTGATCTTCAAGAAGAATATTGCAGGAAAATATGAAAAGCAATACTCATTTTTTAGGAAAGTTTGATGACTGAAGATAAAAAAAAGATTTTTATGTAAAAAAAAAGAGAAAGTGACTTTACAATGTGACTATTTTATCTTGCAAACACAATATTGTTGTTGTTGATGTAAAAAAAAACAAAGCTTTTTATTTGCCTTTTCCAAAATGTTCTATATTTCATTGTTCAAGTATTTGGAATTGATGACCTACTGTACCTCTCTAAGGCCTTGTTCACAGTGTACCAGACTTGTGTACAAACAGAAACAGCATATTGAGAGTCCCAGAATTTTATTATTTGAAGAATTTAAGATAGATAAAATATGAAAAGCCACCCTTGTGTTTTAGAGTGGAAAGTCAAAACACTACATGTTGTAAACAAGAATTTCATTATCTATTTTAACAAAAAAACATATCATTTTCATATATTTTGTCAGACATGACTCCCTATCATTATTGTCCTGCACTTGTATTCTGCCTTGTAGCTTAATGTGACAGTAGACTTTTCACTTTGTTGTTGGTTCATAAAACAAGGAGGTGGATTATTTTATTATTTATTTACTCTTTAACTATAATACATCTTATATTCTTGTGATTGGCCACTGACAGCACAGTATCTCTTTATTGCACTCTTCATCTATATATCTATAGATAT